GCATGTTGAGAATAAAGGGATGTGAGTGCTATTAGCTTGGATCTCCATAATCATTCCCAAGTGACTGGAACTTAGCCTTGATAAATGGACTTAGTGAATGGATGGATGGTGTGTGTGTGTGTGTGTGTGTGTGTGTGTGTGTGTGTGTGTGTGTGTGTGTGTGTGTGTGTGTGTTTGGCCGTCTCTTTGTAAAGATGTGGTGAAAAGGAGCAGCTGCAGAAGGGAAGTGGAGAAAAAAAAAGAAAAAGTGATAGTTTATTAGCTGCTCTGGTGGGACAGTGTTTTTAATTTCCCCCGGTCATAATTGGTTAAGAACTCCATTACCCATGAGGCAACAGTGCACCAGCTGTCAAAGTTAAACAGCTGCTCTGCCACTAGTAGCTCCATCTTCCAGCTTCCCTATCATTTATCTATGCCTGAACATATGTCTGTGCTGGCTTGTTTCCTTCTGTGTCTGAATTTGAGACAGAACTTCCTCACATCATCTGGAGGGATAATAACACTTAGTTGAAAGTAGTCTAACGGGCTTTAAGGGTGAGTTGATGGTTAAGTTGCCATCTAAGGCTTCATGAGTCTTCACTTGATTAATGAGCACCTAATAGTAGAAGACATCACATTGTATTGTAAGAATCCAAAGTTTTCTTTGTCACATCAAGGGGATTTATTTTTTTTTTACCTCTGCATTACAACACTGTTGTTTATAGAATAATTTGATGTAGCCTAAGGAACTAACGTAACAGTTTGTTGTGTATTTATTAATTTGGGTTGTGGTGTGAGAGGGGTATATTAAGTGTCATCATGTCTCTGATCAAAAAATAGGAAAAATAAAATGTTTCTGCACCGCTATATAGTCGTAACCCCCTCAATCAAACTAGAATGGACCGGAATGGAAGCTAGTGGAGGCCGGGGTGTGAAGCCCCTCGTTTGGATTTAAAGAGACAGCCTCAAAACGAGTTGATCTGAGACACCTCAAAAAAGGGGTGAAAGAGGGCCTTGTGGAGTTACAATAAGGTCAAATTCAGACCAAAGCATTGCAGTTCTACCTTATATAGACTCCAACTGAATGATTTAAATGTGTAAAAGAAGGATTTAAATACATGATATGTCTGCTTTAAAGGGGCAACATCATGTAAAATCAAGTTTTTTGAGCTTTGTATCATGTTATGTTGTTATCCCCACATCACATCACATCACATTTTAGTAGCCAGTTTCTGACCGAAAGTCTTTTCAGCTTTGTCATTATTTTTTCTAAAGTTCAGTATTTTTGTAGTTAAAGCCTTTTCAGTATTGTGCAAGTATTTTTGTGTTATAGTAACTGGTTTTAAGCAAAACGTATGAGCACTTTTCACACAGTCGCACAGTGCTTCGCTCTCTCTCTCTCCCTCTACACTGGTGTTATGTTCAAATCTGTGTATGAACACATTACAAACGTGTTATGTCAGTTCCCTTTAGATGCAACATCCGTCTCTGGCGACAACAACAGATGGACGTCAAGATAACAGCCATCGTTCATCATTATTATAGTGACACTTTCAAAGATTTGCGACTAGAATAGCTTTCTAGCTCTGGGTTGGGCATGCAAGATTAACTTCTTCACTTTACTGATTGCACCCCACACACATGCACACATACATGTTTGCCCAGCTATACATTTGGGGACATTCCATTGACTTCCATTATATTTCTACAGCCTAACCCTGACCACAAACCCTAAGGCTAACCTCACAGGTACCTACCCGACCCTAAAACTAACCTAAACTCAATTCACACCTTGGTCCTAAACCCACCCCCCAACCCACCAGTGGCATTTAAACCAAACAGGGTCTCGACTTAGGTCCCGAAATGCACCAGTTGTCCCCAAATGAAGGCGTTTTGTCTTAAAATTTCCCCCAAATGTCACCAAAAACAAACCCACACACACAGACACACACACTTAGAAATCCTAAAATTCATTGCTGACTTGTAAATAATTATGAAGTTTCCTTTTATGCTTTACCCTGCTTTAGTCTAAATATTTAGCACTCAAAACACTTAAAGATAATATGATAATATTTAGAGGTGTAACAGAACTCAACAGAACTCACCTGTGTCACTTGAAAATGAAATATTCAGCAAAGATTTGGACTGCGGGATGTACGATAGAAGAAACAGATTAGTCATTCACTGTATGAATGAGTGTGTGTTTGTGTTTTTTGCTGTTTAACTAAACTATTTCAACTGCGTATTCAATGGTGGTTGAGAAAATCCTACCTATAGTAAAACCTGACCTAAAGTCCACAGTGAGCGTCTCAGGATACACAATGATGGTGAAAGTGATGAAGTGTTGGCAGGAGAGGTGAGAATAGTGTTGAAGAGTAATGAAGGAAGCATTGTTCTCATTCAAGGTGCTCCTGACAAATAAAAAAAAGAAAGTCAGAGTAGAAGAAATTGTAGAGGGACAGACTTGTGAAGGGAAGAATGGCTGAATGATTAGTGAGTTTCCTCCCCTTTGGAAAGGGGGAAAAAAACAAAAGAACGTGTGGAAAAGTCAAAGAAAATGAGAAAAAAAGATGATGTGAGGATTCTGGAGAGCCCTCTGGCAGAAGAAGAAAGGAGGACTCATCTGCAAACAAGAATGAGACGAGTGTGGAAAGACAAGGCCAATGATTACAGGATTGTGTGGATCAGAAGAGCCTCATGTGAATACCGAGTGAGTTGTAGAGGGTTAGAAATGTACCACAGGGAAACAAAATAAGTGAAGAGACACAGATGGGAATAAGAGAGATTTGAGCAACAGACTGTGAGACATTCAGTGAAGGATGGGCCTTAATAAAGCGACAGGATGAAAGTACAAGTCAAAAGTAAGCAAAGAAAATAACCCCACTTTGTAACAACTCTACCTTAAAAACTTGATTTCTTATCTTATCTTGTTAGTTTACTTTCAAAATCTTCATGGTTGTCTATTACTATTCCAATGAAGTTGGAACATTGTTTAAATGAAAAATAAAAACAATGCAATATATTGTAAATCTTTTTCAACCTATATTCAGTTGAGTGCACTACAAAAAGAAGATATTTAATGTTTGAACTGATAATTTTTTTTCAAATATTCACTTATTTTGAACTTGATGCTGTTAAACATTATAAAAAAGCTTTAAAGGGTCATGTTTACTACTGTGATACATCACCTTTCCTTTTAACAACACTCTATAAGCCTTTGGGAACTGAAGACACTAATTGTTGAAGATTTGTAGGTGGAATTCTTTCCCATTTTTGCTTGATGTAAATTTTCAGTTTCTCAACAGTGCTGGGTCTCTGTTGTCATATTTTGCACTTCATAATGCGCCACACATTTTCAGTGGGGTCTGGACTGCATGCAGGCCAGTCTAGTACCTGTACTCTTTTACTTCGAAGCCACGCTGTTGGAACACATGCAGAATGTGGCTTGTCGTTGTCTTGCTGAAATAAGCAGAGACGTCCCTGATGTGGCTTGGATGACAGCAGATGTTGCTCCAAAACCTGTCATGTACCTTTCAGCATTAATGGTGATAACAATCCGGACAGTCCTTTTCCTTGTTACTTGTTTCCTTGATTTCCAAAAATAATTTGAGATGTGGACTCCCCAGACCACAGGACACTTTTCCACTTTGTGTCAGTCCATCTCAAATAAAGCTCAGGCCCAGTTGTTCACAAAGTGGTGAACCTCGCCCCATCCTTGCTTTTGAACGACTGAGCCTTTCAGGGACGCTCCATTTATACCCAATCATGACACTCACTGTTTGCAATTAGCCTTTTCACATGTGGAATGCTCCAAACAAGTGTTTTTTTGAGCATTTCTCATCTTTCCCAGTCTTTTATTTCCCATTTCCTAGCTTTTTTTGTTGCAGGCATCAAAGTAAAAATGAGTGAATATTTGAAAAAATAAATAAATAAAAATAAAGTTTATCCATTTGAATGAACATTAAATTTCTTGTCATTGTAGTGTACTCAATAGAGTATAGGTTAAAAAGGATTTGTAAATCATCATGTTCTGTTTTTACTTTTGTTTTACACAACATCCCAACTTAATTGGAATTGCGGTTGTATTTCACTACAGATAATGTTTATTTTTCAATTAGTTTTTTCTCTTCTAGATTCAAGCCTTTTCAATATTAGCTACAGTATTGACATCTGTTTGAAAACAAAGCAATAAATCATGCCGTTGATCTGTTTTAAGAATACTGATTGCAAAATGTAAAGACAATGTAAAAAATAAAAAATGTGGGTGTGTGGCGATGAACGTACTCCCTTTAGCTGCAGGAGCATATCCATACATCTTTCCCTTTTAGCTAGACGGGGTCTAATCAACACACTAATTAGAGTCTAATGTAGGAACAACTGTCACACATCAAACATTCATGTCTTGCTCTTATGCAACACATTGCATGTTACAGATGTGATAAACCGAGGCCAAACTTTGAGTGAACTTCTCTGCTACAGCTGCAGCAGAACAAATAAAATGTTTCCCCACTGTTAAATCCATAGATTTAAAAAAACTTGTAAGCACAGCTGTAAGCACATGGTAATGTGTTTTTTTCTTCCTTCTTTGAAAGTCAACCCAATAAGTTAATATATGAAGCCGTGTTGTGTGTTTCCATATGAATACCACATGTCGTTTCCTTTTTACTTTACGAGGCGAGCAGAGGAGGATGAGGATATGCCAAAAAGCCAGATGTTAGATCAGAAGTGAAGATATAAAAAGATGTACATTTAGGATTGAGGACAATTGAAAGAGGAAAAATGTTGTCTAAGTTAGTTACAGTCTGGATTTCTTAGAAAAGCTGAACAGTTTGTACACATGAAGCTCCTCATTTTACCTGTATAATTATAAAAAAAAATGCATCTAAATCTAGTCATAAAAATAACTAATTCAAGCAAATATTTGTAACTATTTAACCACTAATGTCTTATTTGTGACTTTGTTATTCATATAATTAACCTTTTAAATGATGCATTTATATATTTTTTATTTGTGTCTACAGAAGAAGCAAAGGACAAAAGAACTCTCCAAAGTCTTCCACTCCTACAACCCTTATGATCACAAGGTAAAATCTTTTAATGTTTCTGTTTGAATGTGTTTCAGTTTTTCTAAAACTTGGGATGCAAATGAAAAGCTTTTTTACTCCTCTCTGATTCAGTAAAGCCCTGAGTGTTTAGTATTGTTTCCCAGAGAGCAGAGGCCTTTATTCAGTGCCAGTATGAGTTGTTTTAGGTTGCTGTCTTTATATTTTATTAATAGCTGTTGTGAGTTTGTTGTCTTCTCAAGATTGGCTATCAGCGCTGTAGTGGATGCGGACAGCACAAGTGTTTGTCTCTGATTACATGAGGAGAGATTGATTCCTGAAGTCAGAGACGGATCTTGATCAGCGAGTGTTTACGCCACATGAGCATTTTTGTGGGGGTTTCTGTGTCAAGTTAACTGAAATCAAACCAAATACACTTTTTTTTAGGCAGGGAAGGTTGTTTCTGAGCTGTACAAAAGAAAAATCATGACAGCAGTTATTATATTCATCTCATTATTAAAAAATATGTTCCGTTACTATTTTTTGCTGTTATGAAAAAATCAGGGGTCAAATTTTTTATCGAACAATTATGATAAAAGTAATGATGTCATGTGGAAAACATGCAACCTATAAAATACAAAATGGATGAGTTTTTTTTTGTGTGTGTGTGTGTCTATTTTTTATTTTTTTTCATCATTTGTGTTTGTCTTCAACCCCGCCAGTGTTAGAACATTTAATTTGGGAAAGTTTGAGTTCATACAGTACTTTTTTGTTGAATTTGGAGCCTGTTGCGTGTTTATTTGGTACACACTAATTAAAAGAATTTGAGCGAGATCACGTTTTTACTTTTGCAGGCATCCGTTGTCACCTCCCACACAAAAAAAGTCACTTACACACACAGATGCGCACAAATGTAAAGAAACACTCCACAGCAACATATGTTGAACAGACATTCACACACAAGTCCATACTAACGTAGCTGACACAAACACAGAATGTGACCTGAACATAGTTAATTGGGAATATTTGTAATTCATTATCACATTTGTGTCTAAATCAGATACATAGTGTTTGTGAGCATGCTCTCTTATCGATGTAGAGAAATAAACAATGTAGTGGTGTGTCCTGTTTGACTTGCTGTTTTAAAAGCATCACTAAATGCTTTTCTTTTCTGTTTACTGAAGCTCTGTAAAGAAACTGATGGATGAAAGTTTACATTTGATTTGATCTTCTGCAGATGTGTAGAAACTTTTGTATCTCTGACACTGATACATAGTACAAGAATTAAATATTCTTCTTTTCTGTACAAAATGATAAAGTTTTAAAGCTCGAGATCTTGATTTTTACATCAGTCACTGTAATTTAAGACTTTTCTCAGTGTTGCAATGTTTGGCAAAATACTTATTCTCTAAATAACTTCTATTTCAGTGTGTGTGTCTTTGTATACATTTTCTATTTATATGCTCAGGTACACAGTTGCCCTAATGTATCTATGTCTCTGTTAGCAAAATATCTTAATAAAACACAGGGTAGATTTTCAAACCAAAGTAAAGTTTATTGATATATCGCCTTTTATACAGCGACGTGTAGTAGAAAGAGCTTTACAGCAGATAAGAAAAAAGGAACACAAAGGAAATGCAACAAATAAGCAGACAACAACCACATGCAAGATAATTTCAAACAGCAAGATGAAATAATGGTGGTTGAGACATAAATGGACTAAGGAACAGAGGGAGCAGATTGTCATAAAACCTTCAGAAGGGTGTAGATTAGGGATGGGTAACTGGTGGCCCGTGGGCTGAATACGGCTCTTCAGCTCGCTAAAGTAAGTGTTATTTTTTTTGTTTGCTTCAAATGTTTTGTATTCATACTTATTAAACAAGAGTACAACTGTAATAATTACAACACATATGTAAAATGATTTATTTATATGGTAAATGGTAAATGGTACTGAACTTATAGAGCGCTTTTCAAGTCCCTCCGGACCCCAAAGCGCTTTACACTAACAGACATTCACCCATTCACACTCACATTCACACACTGATGATGGCAAACTACACTGTAGCCACAGCTGCCCTGGGGCACACTGACAGAGGTGGGGCTGCCATGCATCGGCGCCACCGGACCCTCTGACCACCATCAGTAGGCAAGGTGGGTGAAGTGTCTTGCCCAAGGACACAACGACTGAGACGGCTGGACGGGGGATCGAACCAGTGACCTTCAGGTTCCAGGACGACTCCCCTAACCACTCCGCCACAGCCGCCCCCCCATATATGATGACAACTCTTTTAATTAAAGCTATTGCTTAAATGTAAGTAGGTTTAAGGCAAAATTATGTCTATTCAGGTGTATGTTGCTTCATTTTTCTGTGCTCTTGTGCAGATATTGAGGTAAAATTTGGTCTGGCTCAGAGTTGTCATAAACACCTGCTCTGAGCACAAACAAATTGTGTCTAATCTTTGTTTAAAACTTTGGCCTGCAAAGCAGCATACAGTCCTGAGATGCTAATTTTTTTTAATTGCAAGAAACACATAGGCTGCCACTGAAAAAGTGAATTATTACTTTAAAAGCACTGTTATTCTTAGCTTGTGCACAACCTGCTGAACCATATTGATTTTAAACTTAAAACACAGGATGAAACATGAATGCAATCATAGCTCCAGACTTTCTCAAACCTTTAAACTCAAGACAAACTGGTAACGTGTGGTATTTTAAGATATAAAATTCCTATAAAATAATTTAAATGTCATGTCACATTTAATAGCTGCATATACTTAAGCTTTATTTAAAACTTAAAGCCAGCTAACACCTAAATAACCATCTATATATATACTGTATATAACGTTATCAGTATATAAAATGACTCTAAAGTAATTTGGTTCATTACATAAACCTTTCACACATGAAAATGTTTAAAATATGCATGTTTTCTGTAAATCTTTTAATGCTGCTAAACCTCTAGGCACACTAAATGCTTATCCATTTTTGCCTATATTGTGAATATGTGCCAATAAATCTCCTTAAAATACAAACCCAGTTAGCCATAAGCTATGATTTAATGACAAGCGATCTAATGTCAAGCATGCTTCCTCACAGATCAAACACGATGCCGCTTGTCCTTGCTCACATCCGCACACCTTGGATATGTGAAAGCAGGTCATTGGATTAAGTTTATAAAGCCCTAAGATAAAAATAAAAATGGAGTCTAATTTTATCCCCCGTTATCTCCAGTTTACATTACATTTATTTATTTGTGTTTGCTTAGCTTGTGGTTTTTATAGGAATGTTATGTGTTTATGAACACTTCTACGTGTGTTTGGGTAGATGGGGGAAAAAAGAAGACAGAGGAATTTTGTTTTAAACTGAATTTTAAAAGCACTATTCTGTAGTTATATAAATGTTAAAGAGTAAGTTGGGAAGATAGTGGTGAAGCTTTACGGAGCTTCAGGCTTCAAACCAAATTAATCAGTAGTTACAACAAACTAATTGTTTTTGTGTAGTCTGCTTCTTTTATAATATCCCATGACTATCTATAAATACCAACAAATAAAGGACATTAAAAACTAACACCCAAATATAGTTGTCAGTAAAATCGCAAAGCTTTTCTTTTGCCTTTTCTTTTCTTTAGTTCTTTTTCTCTCACTTTGTGTCTATATTTCCAACTATGTGCTGATGTGTGTGTTAAATGTTCTCTTGTGTGTTCATATGAATTACAGTTGCTCTCTTCTATTGTTTATATGTTTCAGAGCTCAGAGTGTGTACGTGTGTGCGCATTTGTGATGATTAATGTGAGGTATCCTTTAGCCAGATGGTGCTGAACAAGGCACATCCATCAGCATTGAAAAGACCAGTGGGCAGAAAGCTGGCAGAGCAATTTGTTTAGGGCCAACGCCCCCAGTGGGCACTCACAAACACACACATGCCCACCGACTCTTCGACTGTGTAACCCTGAGTCGAGTTGGAGCAGAGTGTTGTGTTTCAGAATGCACCTTTTTGCTTGTTTTGTTGCGTTCCCTGTCCTACCTGAGTTGCAGTGCCTTATTACTGGGAACGAGGATGGCATTAGAGTTTAAGACCCTGTGTACTCCCCACTGAGCAATAGGTGTTGATTTAACACTGAGGCTGGTTGTAGCCACTGTTATTTCTCAACATCTTGACCTAGATTTAGACAGCATTTAAAACAAGAACTTTAGTTTTTCTTACTTTGTTTTGTGTTAAATAAACTATTTAAAATACTAAAGATAAACTGCTTAACTCTGTAAATCATGCAAAAACTCCAGCTGGAATTTTGACACTGATTTTACAAAGGTGAATTTTCACTCAAAAAACATTTTTTCAAATGTGTTTTGATCCTACATGTCAAAAAAATCAGTAATTTTGCTCAGTTGAGAGGTAAAAAAGAAGAAAATTAGGGTTAAGATGTATTTATATATTATTTATTGCAGTGGCAGGAGAAAACATTACAGCAAACATATCCCCCCTAAAGGAGATATAGATACTTTATTAATGTATAGTATTTAAATATATACCCGAGAAACACATAATATTGGCCCTTTAACATGGTATTTAGTTATTTTTTTATTTCACTTATCTGTGCTTGTATATAAATATGTTCATGTCATCCAGACAGTATTTGACCTGTTAAAATATGGGAACAAATCCCAGTTAAACATAACATATTGCTGATATTATCACAAGTTTGTTAGATTACCTTTTTTTTTTACTTTAATTATGTCCAGTTATACACAGCAATTCTAGGGTGCTTTCTATCTGGTTTTCTGCCTCAACAATGTCAGTTTATACATCTGCAAGTGTGTAAATGTGTAGTCAGAAAAGGAACAAAAGTACACACACACACACACACACACACTCTTCTGTCCCTTTGCCACATCACTGTGTCATCTGTTGTAAAGTTGTGATCCCTGAAGGCTCTGTCCTCCCAGGCTGAGGTTGTAAAGCACCCATCATGCCTAAAATATTCTCAGCATTGTGTGCAAGTGTCGTCGCACTCAGCTGTCTCTGGGAGAGCGAACCCTCTCCCC